AGAGAGAGGGGGGGGGGGGAGGAGGGGGGAAAGAGGGAATACCGGTAGATGACGATGAGAGAGGAAGAACTTAGAGAATGTGATGAGAGGGAAATGATGATGGGAGGATAAATGTCGAGTGATGTTGTCTCATTGAGGACTCTGAGGAGGCTTATCAATATAAATCATATGAGTTTATAAAATGCAAGTGATGATACCAAGTATCTGTATCCATGGATGCAAGCTTGGCCATGATTGACAGAATTTTCAAACTTCACAAATCCTTTGAAATGCTCTCATGAAATTTCTTTTTCTAACTTATGGACAGCAATGATTAATAGTGATGAAACATGGTAGTGGTGATGATGTTTTGGTCATTATAATGGTGATGTTGGTTGAGAATGGAGATGATGATGGCAGCAATGTCGATGTTTTTGCTGGTGTTGATAAGGGCAGATATGCTGATTATGGTGGTGATGTTGTGGAGGAGGAGGAGGAGGAGTAGGAGGAGTAGGAGTATGATTATCAAGAAATATCTGACTCCATTAATAAACACCATATCAAGAATGTCGTTTCCGAGAACCTAATTGCTTTCTTAGTCATAGTCATAGTCATATCCACACAAGCCCACACTAGCAATGATAGGAATTCATAGACAGACAAAAATAGCCCAGGGGCTATTTATTAATGAGACCCTTTCATGGCCAACAACTAGTCTACATGACAAACTCCTCAAGTTGGCAACAATTATTTGTATCTTCCACTCTCTCATGAAAAAAAAAATGTATATCAAATGAAATGGTGTGAATGAAACATTTAACAAAAAATCATCAAAGAAATCGCCAATTTGTACACAAAAATTGTTATGATAAATTTCACTCTGCGAGTCTGCGTTGCCAATTCACAGATTTCCATGATCATATTTGATTATATAGCTCTTATTCATGAATGGCACAATGTCGAGCAACAGAAAGGGAGTCCTGGGGCCAGTTTCATAAAAACTTGTTATCTATAGCAACTGCTGAATTTCTATGACAAATTTGCTTTCAGCCAATCAGATGCCATGATTTCAGTAGCTTTTAACTTGTTACTGATAACATGTTTTATGTAACAGGGCCCAGTATCCCAGTGATTTGTGCACTTTCTGGTCGTGTAGATTTACAATCCACAGCATTCTGGATCAAAATTAAGTAATAAAACGTCACTAAAAGGTGACACTGAAATGCTATAGGTAAGATACCTTCAAATACAAAGAATTAGAAAAAGGAATAATGGCGCAGTGAAGGGTTACTGGAAAATAATTGTACTTAAAGGGGGAGTGTAGCATGGTAAATACTGGTTAACGCCATCTACGACTGCTTTTGGACAACTGCACATGAACGAATAATAAATTAACGGTCAGCTCGCGCTAGCGTACGCGAAACAGACCAAAGTTCTCCTAACGCTATAAACCTGATTTGCCCAAAGTCAGGCCACGGGAAAGACACGTAGTCTCATCAGGCTTCACCCCCTTTAAGATATAAACTTGATCTCGTCATCCTCTAGCTCCCTTGATTTTTCTTTGCATACACATTTCATCAACTTTCATCTTCTTCCTTATTGATGGCGGAGTAGATTTTTCCATACAGGGGTTGTCTCCAACAATTTTATTTAGGGTGATGTATGAATGAAAAATTTCCTTGAGGGATAATAGAAATTGTGATTTAATAAAAAAAAGAAAAGAACTGAGCAAATGGGAGGGGACCTCGCATGATACATTACAGAGTTGCCAATTTGTGTTTGATTGATCAAACCTCAAAATGTTGTAACTTTCATATTTTGTGCATCAGTCTCCCAAGATGCTACCCAGATTACTAGGAATCTAGACTACAACTGACTTGTTCATCTCATTTTTCCAATTCTATAAAACCAACTTATTATCAGGGTGGACTTCCCCTTTAATTTCTAGGGGAATGAGAGGAATACAAGAGAAAGGGAGGGAGAGATAGAGATAGAGAGAGAGAGAGAGAGAGAGAAGTTAGAGACCAGAGAGAGGAGAGATACAGAAGGAAAGAGAGAGAGAAAAAGGGGGGGGGGGGGGTAGAAACTGGAAAGAGGTGAGATAAAGAAGGGAAGGAGAGAGAGAAAGACAGTGTGACGGGAGGGGTATAGAGCAGAGACTAGAAAGAGGAGAGATAGAGAATAAGAGAGAAAGAGTGACGGGAGGGGTACAAAGCAGAGAGAGAGAGAGAGAGAGACTAGAAAGAAGAGAGATAGAGAAGGAAAGGAGAGAGAGAGTGACAGAAGGAGTACAGAGCAGACAAAGGGGGGGGGGGGGGATAGGAAAGAGAAAGAGAGATAGAGATAAAATACCCTTTCAGAGAAAGACAAAGATAGGTCTCTGACTCATCATTAGAGCAAGGATTTTCAATCAGGGACCCGTTTCACAAAGCCTTTTTTCAATGACAAATGACAAAAATCAGTGTCACATCTGCTGATAACCAATCAGAAGCAAGGATTTCAATAGCTTATAACAAAAACTGTCATTTGTCACTGATGACAAGTTTTGTGAAACACCCCCCAGATGCTTTTCATCTTCTAACAATCCCATCGAATGAAAGAATGCAGACAAAGCAACATTTCCAGATTCAATGCGCAAGAAGCCATCCTGAGAGCCGCCCCATTCAGATTGCAACAGAGGGTGCGTTTATCATCCCTTTTCTGGCCTAGAATCTGCCTTTTGAAACGTGTTTCAGGCAAATTTGCATGGTGATTAACGGAAGCCTGTTTTTCAAGCGTCTTTAGATATGGGTATATTGGAATTTGAAATGCTGAAAAAGTGTGTTTTGAATGTGAAAATGAGCCAGAATCACGTTTCTGTGAGATGATTAACGCAAAGCTGTTTTGAAACACACATACATTTCGGACCTTCCCACGCTAATTTCCGGTTCGGAGGAATAGCGTGCGCCATGTGCTGTGCCTTAGTTGACCTCCGAGCAACTCTCTGCTTCCCGTGTCAAATGGCGCAAAGAGTTGCGCAGAGACAAGGCCTTTATTTCAAATCGTGACGAGTTGATAATCACGCCATCCCTCAAATCACGTTCGTATAGTGGGGTTCGATGTGTATCTATAGATTCTGAGTGGTAAAGGCTGATAAATGCACCCAGAGTATGGCAAAGCTATTTGTTAACTTACAATTTGTTTATAGTCTGATCATCATATAAGTATATACGAAATGAAACGTATGTGTCAACGCTGTTTCAAACCCAAATCTGATATTAAGACTAGGTTCCCGTTCTTGCCTGAATGTTGTAAAGTGCGAAAAATGTGAAAGTGGGTGTGGCTTATTTTGAGCATGCTTTTCTGATTGGCCAGCTATCATGTCAACCTGCCTCTTCAAAACTATTTCCTTTGCACGATGTTTCCTAATGCGCCGATGCCCATTTTGTGTATGCCCCTTCTGCTGTATAATGTATAACTTTCCTGCCGTCTGAATGGCCCCAGTAGACTATGGTAGTATTCGCACCCACCCCTAGAGGCTTGTTCAAATGTGTTGTAGTAAACCACCGCAAGAAAAGTGGCCCCGTTTTTATTATGTGTAAATGAATGGCACCTGCAGGTAATGAAGGACTTGTGCTTAGGTATTCACTGTAAGATATAGAACTGTGAAGTGTACCGGTATATCTATTAACATCATGTTTCAATGATAAAAAAAAACGCTGAGGGATTTACCGCGTCAAATCTGAACGAGCCCCTATCACATGACCTTATGCAATGCATTGTCTGGCTGTCTGCTGGAAGAGCAATCGTTTGCTGCCAGACACAAAGACATCTCCTGAGCGTGCTCCATACGATCGCTGCTCCAGTCAAGCAAGAGTCATTGAACAGCACCAGTGCCATCATCATTATACTCCACACCGTTGAGGAGCATCAAATCCATTGTCATCGTACTATTGTGCCCATCCTCCGATCATTACCCTCACATCGTCACCCTCACCGTTAAAAGGACTTCACAGCCATTGACAATGCTGGGGTGTCATTTTTGCAGAAAGCCAAGGAAATCATTGGGCAGAGCAAAGCTATCCTTTTCGTACTATTGTGCCCATCCTCCGATCAGCACCCTCACATCGTCACCCTCACCGATAAAAGGACTTCATAGCCATAGCCAGTGACATAGACATTGAATGGGGCAAAGTCATCTTTTTCATGCTATTGTGCTCAGCCTGAAATCCTCTCACAGCCCGAAACAATTTTCTTGCTACTAATACTATTGTGCTCAGCGCTCAAACAGCATCATTATAATCATAATCATAATGATAATAATATTGATAGCCATCTGCCTAGGACTTTTATTCTGAGGTGCACAAGGGAGAATAGATAAGCAATAAGAGTCTCAATAAGTGTAATATCCTTCAGTCGACCATTGCTAAAAAAAAGGTATGAATTCAACTTGGAGTTGAATCTCGCTAATGATGTTGTATAACTTGTTCCACCGAAAGTTAGCTGTAGCCGAGAAAGCTCTTTCACCAAAGGCGTGTTTATCTCCTTCTATGCATTTGACTCTCCATTTTCTCACCTTTGAAACCAAATTTGCTCTCAACCAATCAAATACAACGATTTCAGTAGCTTAAAGGCCCACTGCACTACTTGTAGCTACTTGCGCCCTCTATATAAAAACAGTGCCTAATCGGTGACCATTGGTCCCCCATGATCCTCTTTTTCTTATGTTAACTGAGAGCTGAGTTGATGAGATAACCACCTGTCCAGTGACCTTGCAGGGCAGTCTAATCCCTCCTGTACACTACGGCAGATAAGCTTTAAAACAGTTATTGTAACTTGTTACCGATAACAAGTTTCATGAAATAGGGCTCATAAATATTTTAAGAGGATTGACATATTGAGTTGTGTGATTCAATCGTGTGCAATTCAAGCACATGTTGAGCATTGGTCGGTTTAATCATCATTTCTCTTTGTCATTTGTACCAAACTGGGAGGAGTTTTATGTTTTCTAAATGAAATCTACTCTTCTTTTCTTTCTTCAGATTTGGCCGACAACACAGATTCCATCAACGCAGACAGAAGGTATGTATAATGATTGAAAGTACATGTTTACATCGCAGTATAACGTCTCCTTTTAGGGTGCGTTCAAGCGATTTTTGGCATCTTTTTCGGCGTTTCATGTTTGCATTTTGAAATTTTGAAATATACTGAAATCCACTCTTTCGAGTTGTTGCCTTGTTTCCCTTAGACTTGATTTCCAATTGAAACCTAAAACAAGCTGTCTAGCATTCCACCTCTTCCTGTCTGTATACACAGGTTATACTCTAGGGGTGGTATTCTTTACTTTACCTTTACCGCAAATACTGGAAAAATGCTGAGACAGCAGTCGAGCTTCCAGGTCTATCTTCTTGTACTCGTTCTCTTTAATAATAATTCTTATTAATATGCAAGGGAGGCAGAGGAAAGCAGACTAACTTTGGTTCATGGTTTAATCCTCCAACTAAGTATGGAATGCCAAGTGTCCATTTGAATACATTTTTGAATAATTTAATCTGTCACTTTATTGAAATAAAATGTAATAACATAATTAATAAACAACAATATAACTATGAAATAATTATGTTATCATGGTGATTTAGGGACATATCAAATTATTCAAAAATATATTCATATGGACACTTGGCATTCCAACCATGGACTGAAGTTACTCCGCTTTCGAGAATACCACCCTAGGCCTATTAGTAAAATACTGTTTTCACACTGGCAATATTTTGCTTATCCCCGTACTATAGGTGGGGTTAAGGGGGGGTCTTAGCCCCACCTATAGTACGGGGTTAAGCCTATTCCACTTTCTGTTCAGACTGGTTTTTACCAAAGTGGGCTAAAGTTGGCTAACCCCACCTATAGTACGGGGTTAACTAACCCTGCAAAATAGCAGGGCTAACTCCGCAATTGTGGTGCTAACTCCTGCTAACCCCGCAATTGCGGTGCTAAGCAAATGAATGAGAACAGAAACGAAAAATAGTCCGGTACTACGCAATGGAGTGTATCGCAGCTGGCCAGATGCGAAGTATGTCCTATCATAACATACACGATATCCGGGGTTAACGAAATGCAGTGAGAACAGCGGGAATTTTCTTATTCCGGAATAGGCGCTAGTACGGGACTAAAAACAGCGAGTGTGAAAAGCCAAAAAAATAGTCTGGGGTTAAGGATAGTACGGGGCTAAGCAAAGTACGGGGTTAAGCAAAACCAGTGTGAAAAGAGTAAAAGTCAGTTATACAGGAGCTGAAAAGCTGTAAATCACACTTATCCTGCATTCAATGTTTACATTTATGTATGGATACCGGTACGGCTCTTTGAATTCTGGAAGAAGATATAGGTGATGCTTCAGTGATCGTGGAATCACATCAGATTCAATACTTCTGTCAAAACAATTTCCCTTAAATTCTTGTGATGAAGCTCCTGGTTGATATGAGAGATAATCCTCTTAGGTGATAGTTATTAGAAAAATGATCACGATTGCAATGATGCGTGTTATCAAAATACTGGATAATGGGATCGATGTGTCGGGTATCATTAAGCTTGCTCTTCTAATCTGGTAGGGAGCTCATATTAGCTCGGTATTTTGTCGGTGAAAGGCTTCTGTCCTTTTGAATTGTAGTCGTACCCTTTTATAGCTTATCAACGCTGCCGAACATCATCCAAGATATCACTCTCAGAGTGGTTTGCAGAGAGGGTGCAGCTGTTCTCACTTCTCGACTATTGGACATCGCAAAGAGCATCCCATTTATCTGAGCAGCTCAGTCTATTAAAGAAGTATGTATTTGTACATCTGAGTTCTGATGCATGATCAATTGGCTACATCTTTGGACTGTGGATCGCAGGGTTCGTGGTTAGAGTCTCGCTGCTGCACTTGTGTCCTATAGCAAGACATTAATCTACATTTGCCATTCTCCACCCAGGTATTAAATGGGTACCGGTAGGAAGGAATTCCTTGAATGCTGTGAACACTGAAGTTGGTAGCCTAGCAGAGCCACTGTATTATTGGAGCGCCTTGAGCACCATGCATGGTGGATATGTGCGCTACACAAATATCCAATATTATTATCATTATTATTGTCATTCAGCAAAACAGGATAAAGTCTGTATTTTTTTCCTGAAAGACTTTGCTTTAAAGCCAGTCTGTACTAGTTTGGCCAAGAGGGATAAGACCACACAGCGTGGTCACTGACAGGTGGCTATCTCATCAACTCGGCTCTCAATTAACATAAGAAAAAGAGGATCATTGGGGACCAACAGGCATCGCTTAGGCATTGTTTGCTATATAGAGGGAGCAAGTAGCTACAAGTAGTACAGTGGGGCTATAACAAACAGCACCAAATGCTACCAAATCCACCTTTAAACTATACTCTATGGTTCTACTGTCCCGAGTGATTTCCTAATGAGTCTTGTTGTGCCCAGTATAGCTCCCTGCTGCAGGCCGTAGAGCTATTGATTCTTGACAATTCCCTTCTTCACCATGATTTTTTTTTTTTAATGATTATTCAAGTCACCTCTGCTTTGATGCTCCACATTCTTGGTGTTTGAACCGTTGTCTTCTACTTGACTGCAGGGAAAAAATTATTCAACAAATTTTGGGGGCTACTTTTCAACCTTGCTTGGATGAAACTAACACTCTTTGATTCGTTTAGCATTGAACTCTATGCAAATTTTGTTGGGCTCTTTTATGACTTTCTGGGGTTCTTTTTGGCATTTCGGGGGCTAATTCGCCCGAGCCCCCGTGTATTTTTTTTCACTGCTAGAAATGGATAGATTCAGAACTGAAGATGGTTGTTGTTCACACTTAATCATTTGCTATCTTCCCTATCTCACCCCAAGGTTGCTTGTTTGCCCTACATTTTTTGCTGAAAATAATAGGCACCGATTGACGGAAGGCTTGCTTTATTCAGTGCAATGGCTCTGCAAAATTTCAATTTTTTTTTTTATTGCTGATGAGTTAACTATTACACTTTATTTTTATTATACATATTCTGTGTCTATATGAACATGTTATTATTACTATTATTATCATGTTTTATTATTATTATGAATGAGATTTGTTTTCAATACATATTTTTGAAAAAAAAAGAAAAAAAATCTGATCTTCATTAGCTCCATGTCAACCCTGTTAATTTACCCATTGCCTTCTTGAACCCGGTGGCTCGTATATTAAGTCTATGTGAAAGAGAGAATTTGGCAGTCAGATGGTTAAGACAAGTATAGATTAATCTTTCACTGGAAATAGTTCAATAATATTGGATCCTTTGTATATCTATGCCATGATGAGTACAATGTGGCAGGTGGATATTATTTGTGTGGCATATACAGAGCTAAAACAGAAGCAACAAGACCACCAACAACAACAACAACAATCAAGGTCTGGTGCAGCGCTTAATTGTTTTAGCATGACTTCATTTCTTTCTTTTTATTTGCTTCAACTATTAAAGCTGACAAATATTCATGTTTTTACATTCTCTCTGTTTCAGTATGGAAGGGAGTACTGTAGAATCACCAAGACTAGTTGAAGCTCCCATCTCAGCCTCACACAACCAGTCAGAGGAGAGCGCCCCGCCCAGTGTAGTCCGGTCCTCAGACAGGCCCGAGGAGGCCATGCAGGTCAAAGGTGGCACGGGTTCCGTCAAGTCCAGGTTTGAAAGTGGAGACTTCCAAAACAACTCCACGACCACCGCCAAGTCCATCAATATCTACGATGCGCCCGAGCAGAAGGGCGTGTCGGAGAGTACCCCTGTCCGCAAGGAGGACATCTTCCACTCGGGCGAGGCGCAGGAAGAGGTGAAGGCACCCTCAGCCGGGATCGGGAAGTTCAAGAATATGTTTGAGGTCGGTGGCGTGACCAACCTAGAGGTCAAGTCCAGTCGAGATCCCGTCAGTGTTGGGTCCCTGAGTGAATATGAGAACACCAACCAAGGTCACGTGGCCGAGAGCACGCCGGTGTTCAGGGATGATGTCATCAGGAGTTCGGATACATCTGCCGACCCCGGGATCAAGAGGGGCCTCTCAAAGTCCCTCAAGAACCGCTTTGAGACGGAGAGGATTTCAAACATTGAAGAGAAGCCGAGGGAAAAGATTGACATCAGTTCGTCAGAAGAAAAGAGAGTTTACCAACCACCTGAGAAGCCTAAGCGCGAGGACATCGTCAACGCAGAAAATAATACTGAGGATCCTGGGATCAAGTCAGGTAGAGATTTAATTTGGCTTTCTTTGTTCTGTTGGGTATTCAGGTTACACAAACTCTTGTGAATCATCGAGCCTAAATTCCCAAAGGGTCGGTGTAACGTTTGAGAAAACGCCCTTCTTATCGCCAAACAGAGACCACTATTACGAATGAGGGGGGGGGGGGGGTGTATCACAAAGACTAAGATCGACTTTAAGTTTGACTTTACTATGGCAGGCTGTTTATGCCACTGCTTGCTCTCACCATTTACTGGCAATGGTCTCTCATGGGACATACAAATCATTGTCACAAATCTACAGAATTGACATTTTTTGATAATTTGTTATTGAAGGAAAAAAAATATTATCTAAAGATCATAATTGAGAGACCAATGGTGAGAGGAACCAGTGGCATGAGTGGCCTGCCATATTTAAGTCCAACTTAAAGTCGATCTTAGGCTTTGTGAAACATTTCCCTGGTCTATTAACAGCAACATATCATGTTAGAGATGGTGCATGTACAAAGAACCCCTAATACCGTGATGTCCAGAATAATGACTGCTGAAGGAGCTACATGAATACATTTTGTTTGCCACTTTGAAAAAAATACTTTCACTTTTGTGTTCGGGCGTACCCATTACAAGCTTTGCTTACTGGTATTTGCGCCTTCTACCTTGTAATTCAAGGTGTTAAATCATATTTATGTTCCTACGTATAAATTGTATTGTTTGAACAGATGTCAAATATGTTGCCAAATTGAATGGAAGAAATAAATGTTCATTTGAATTGAATTGAATCGAATCATTGAATCTTCTGTCGGTGCATAAGGGCAGGTCCAAGCTATTGTCCCCTCTGGGGGTCAAATTTCATCTTTATATATATTTAACAAACTATACATCATTTTAAAGCTGAAACTATGAATTTTATGAATCTGATAAAAAAAATGAAAAATTATCAAAGTACGAAGAATGCCAAGGTCACAAACTTTGATTTGTGTTAATTAGCGTGACGTACGGGACATTACATTTTTATTTTTGTATCTCATTTGAATTATTTTTTCAAAATTAAATATTTTAGGACATGTAGACCATCATACTAGAAAATAGGAAAAAAATATAAAAACTTTCAAAATTAATTAATTATGCAAATGAGGTAGGTTCCAAAGTGTGATGTCCCGTACGTCACAATTTGACATTAATTTGTTTAATTTTAATTATGAAAATAATTTTTTTTTTCAAAGATATTCTAGGAAGTTCTAATTTAGATGAATACCTAACAAAAAATAGGTTTAACAAAAATTACGAAAATTCTGTGTTGATTACATAATCAAATTAAGAAATGTGACGTACGGGACAAGTGTGTGACGTACGGGACAACCCCATATAAAACCAATGCAAGATGTGAAAAAAGGAAATGACCAAAAGGAGAATATATATGTGTTAGGAAACTTGTTGTATACAGGGATATATGAACATTCCAACTGGGTCCCTTCTAGGAATTTACTCGTACTGTTGTTGTTGTTATTGTTTTAGTCTTAAAGGCATGTGTCATTCAATTATGAATATTTATTGATGTAATTAGTCTTCAAGCCAGACCCCTGGTATTATCAACTTTGGTATTTTGCCAGTTGATGTCCCCAACATTGGCAGGATGCTAAATATGTAAATCATAATAGTACATGTACATGTTATGGAGCCAGCTCAGGAATTTTGATCTCCTAAAAACTAAATCATAACTTTTAAGGAAGGATAGCCTCTCTCACTCTCACCCACTTAGGATTTTCATCACTTTTACACCCATGCATTTTTGTTGAATTACGCTTTAATCTTTTGAATTGTGGAAAAGGTCACACAAACCTTGAGGGTTTTAATTTATTATATCTGGTGGTGTTAATAAGATGTCTTTAATCAATACAAAATACATTCAAGATTTATATTTTTGTATCCATCTTTCACAAACATGTACATTAAAATTCTTGAATATATGACAGCAACATATACATGTACATGTTCTAATCTGTGATAAAAAGATTAAAATAAGACAATATGTTCAGCATTATCTTTGAATTCCTTCAAAATTCTATGATATTACTATCAAGTAATTCAAACAAGCTATGAAGAAAAGATTTCATATTTGTAATGTACTGTATCTTTGTTCACAAAATATGATGTGCCGAGTGTGCCCCTGTGTTTCAAACAAGTTTTGATAAAAGTTTTCAAGTTCAAGTTCATCTTCTTCATTAATTATTATTTTAAGACATTTACATGTACATGTAGCACTGTTGAATGGAAAGGATGAAAGAAATGAGAAAAGAAGCATGACTGCACATGATAGATGGGTAAATGGAATAAAAATGGTAATATAGTGTGTTTGTATTGAATGTAATTTAATTTGTTTTCTTTATTAAAGTAATATTTGTATTGATTTACCTCATAAATTAACACAGAGGATATTGAGTGAAGGTCAGAGGATCTAATTGGGTTCTATAACACTCTAATTGTCACTGATTTAAGTTAAAATTGTTCATATTTAACAAATTTTGACGAAAATTCTTCATTTCAATGCATTTTCCCATAGGGAAAAGTTGTCCCGTACGTCACGTGTCCCGTACGTCACATACACACATTTATGTTTTGGTATATTACATAACAACGGAAGGTCAGAAAAATATGGTTATAGTTGTGATTAATGCTTGATTCCATAATGAATTAAGATATCATTACCATAAATCTCATAACTTAATAAATTCAGAGAATTTTTACGACGAAATTATTTTTGAAAAAATCAGAAATTCTCTGGTCCCGTACGTCACGCAGCACATTAATTACATTAAAAATTAATTTATGAATTGGTCAGAACTAAAACTTTCCACAAATGAACTAGCCCATAATAGCCACAGACTCATACCAAAAGATAGCCATATAAATAATTTCATCCATTGTTATTTCTTGTTTAAAGTCTCTGAATGTCCCGTACGTCACAATCCAAATAGCTTGGACCTGCCCATAAATGAACAATGGTTACGTCAATTTCATTCATACGTATCAGTACTCGTCTTGATGGGTTGTACAAATGACCTTCATTTGCCACAACACCTTCATTTGCCAAAGCACAGATAGTTTCTCCAAACTGTCTACAGGGACTATATATTTTGTTTCCATTGAAATAGTGGTTTACAATTTAATATGTAATAACAGAACCTGTACATAAAGACCACCTGCCTAGAAAGACTACTTCCTGTCTCCAGTGAGCAGTCTTTAAATGCAAGTTTTACTGTATATGTGTATCTCTGTGGAAAACGCAAAATTTGGTTTGGATTCCAATCATAAATATCTTGATACATGTAATCAGACAGGCGATCAGCTTGTAAAAGTCATGGGGTTCCTGACTGACCTAAAGGTTAATAATTATAATTGCAGCATGAGCTCAATCCAAGATTTTGTTTCAGAATGTGAGACAAAGTACCCGGATCCCTTTAACAGGAACCTACAAAAACAAATACCTTTCTCCACCAGCATGAAAACCTATGTCAGGGACTACACTTACCATTCTATACCATTGTATCTCTGTGGGAAGTGCGTTGTGGGTTCATCCACTTCTTCAGGATGTGACGACCCTGCCAGACACGAGCCCCGATCTGAAGCAGCTCCGATTTTGGACACTCGATATGGGTCCCTATCAAGGGTTACGGATCCCCCGTTGCCCTTGGGTCACCTAGCTGCATAGAAGAGGCAACTTTCTGGAGCCCTTACTGTTGCCATTATAGGACTCTGGACCACTTTAGATGATCTGTAGACTTAACTCTTTTCTTACGGGAACCTGGTGGTCCCTGTGTTAATGCTATGGGAACTTTAAATTTCAGTAGTCAAGGGGTTAAAAGGGTGGAGCCTGTCCAGCACAACCTGGGGAGAGTTTCACAAAACTTGTCATCAGTGACAAATGACAGATTTTGTTATAAGCTACTGAAATCCTTGCTTCTGATTGGTTATCAGCAGATTTATCACTGATTTTTGTCATTTGTCATTGAAAAAAGGCTTTGTGAAACGGGTCCCTGTACTCCACCCTAAAACTTAGTGTGCAGCTAGTGAGATTTACTTTCAAACTAACTTGAACTGCATCTCTGTTTGGCTCCCCATCCATCCTTGTAGGTCAGGCACGGTCTCTACGTAGCCTCTTTGAGAAGGGCAACGTCAGCAACGTGGTGGAGAAGCCGCGCGTTACTCTGGAACGCAGTCCCCGCTCACTGGAGGACTACAGCATGCAGGACCAGGTATCTGAGAACACACCCACAAGGAAAGAAGACGTCGTCAGCTCATCAACGCCGTTGGACGAGCCTGTGAGGTCGGCAGAGAGTACAAGGTCGTTGAAGCAGCGGTGGGAGTCGGGTCAGGTCGAGAGAGTTCCGGAGAAGCCGAAGCCATCGCTAGAGAGGACACCACAGTCACTGGATAATTATAGTATGACGGTAAGCAACACTGAATAGGGTACCCATCAAGTTCGTTCCTTGATTCGTTTAAAGGCCAGAAGGGATTAGACCAAACAGCGATGTCACTGACAGGTGGCCATCTCATCAACTCGGCTCTCAAATAACATAAGAAATAGAGGATAATGGGGGATCAACAGGCACAGATTGGGGAAGTTTTCTATATATAGAGGGAGCAAGTAGCTACAAGTAGGACAGTGGGTTTTAAAAGAAGAATTTCATGAGGAGATGAAGTGGTGCTATTCCACAGGTTTATAATTCCAAAGATTTGTTATTCTGTAGGTTTGCGATTCGGAAGGTTTGTTACTCTAAGGTTCATAATTCTGAACGTTTGTATTTCCGAAAATAGCTGTATAATTCTGCAAGTAAAAAAGAGATAACAATTCTGAAGAGGACATTGAATCCTGTATCGTTTTTTTGTAATAACGCACCTTCGGAAGAACAAACCTGTTTTGTTTTATGAACCCCATTTTTCAGAATGATGAACTTCCAGATAAACGAACCTTCTGAATAGTGAACCACATTTCAATTTGGGAATTATTACCCCCCTGGTATGAGAACCTTTGTAAACACCTTTCGCAACGCTGCCTAAATACATGCAACTCGTTCCTTTTCATTCAGACATTATAAAGTCTTTACCTCCAGGAAGTGTTTTACAAAGATCCTAAGTGGTACTTAACTCTAAGTTGGACTTAAACATTATGGAGAGCCATTTGTGGCCTTGAAATAAAATGTATTCAAAACTGAAAATCCAAGTATTTTAGACTTTTTTTTTATAAATTCCACATCAAGAACATGAAATCTCCTTGATAATAGAAAATATAAATGATTGGAATCAACATTTTATGCCGTTATAAAATAACTTTATAATACTTTATTAATATTTTCGAAGATGCTAATGGCTTTCCATAATTGTTAAGTCTAACTTAGATATAAGTTCAACTTAAAATCTTTGTGAAACACCCCCAGTATTTTCTCCTTGATAATAGAAAATATAAATGATTTTTACAAAATATTTTCAAAGATGCTAACAGCTTTTCATGATTGTTAAGTCCAACTTAGAGATAAGTTCAACTTAGAATCTTTGTGAAACACCCCAGTATTTTGTGTATCTTTTCACTTTTGTGCTTCACTTTAGATGGTTGTTTCTGAGAACACGCCTGAAGATAGAAAAGACATCGTCAAGTCCTCGGCGAGCAGTGATGACTATCTAACATCAAGAGGTGATTCTTGTTTTCATTGGTCTAACAACAAACCAGTCCTGCAAAAATGATGTTCCTATGTTCCTTTAGTCCAAAGGCCTGATTGGTCCTACGTTACCTTAGTCCTACGGCCCAATCGGTCCTATGTTCCCTTAGTCCAGCAGCCAAATTGGTCCTACCTTCCCTTAGTCCTGCGGCCCAATTGGTCCTACGTTCTCTTAGTCCTGCGGCCCAATTGGTCCTACCTTCCCTTAGTCCTGCGGCCCAATTGGTCCTATGTAACCCCAGTTCAGCAACCTATTTGGTCCTATGTAACCTCAGTTCAGCAACCTATTTGGTCATATGTACCTTCTTCAGTTCAGCAAAAATAATGTTCCTATGTCCCCTTAGTCCAACAACCCAATTATTCCTATGTTACATTAGTCCAGCAGCCCATTAGTTGCTATGTCTCCTTACTTTAGTCCAACAACTCAATTATTCCTAGGTTTCTTTAGTCTAGCAGCAGCCCAATTAGTCCAATAACCCAATTGGTCCTATGTTCCCTTAGTCCAGCAGCAGCCCAATTAGTTCAACAGCCAAATTGGTCCTATGCTACATTAGTCCAGCAGCCCAATAGTTGCTACATCCCCTTATTCCAGCAACCCAATAATTTTTATGTTCCTTTAGTCCAGCAGCAGCCCAATTAGGCCTATGATACATTAGTCCAGCAGCCCAATAGTTGCTTTGTCCCCTTATTCCAACAGCCCAATAATTCCTATGTTACAATAGTCCAGCAGCAGCCCAATTGGTTCTATGTTACATTAGTCCAACATCCAAACTATTCCTATGTTTTCCTAGTCTAGCAGCAGCCCAATTGGTCCTATGCTACTTTAGTCCAGCAGCCCAATAGTTGCCATGTCCCCTTATTCCAACAGTCCAATTGGTCCAACATATTCTGTCTTCATTTTATTACAGGTGGCAGTGCAAGCTCACTGAAAGCTAAGTGGGAATCTGGAGAAGTCCACAATGCTGATGTCACAAGTGAAAAGACCGAGAACAAACCGAAGCGTTTCTCCGCTTACTACGAGGGCGATGAACAAACGAATGGTGTGGTCGAACATGAGAATGGAATCATGGAAGAAAGGGAGGAGGTGGAGGAGGAGGAGGAGGACGAGAGCAGTGCTGTAAGTCTTCCTTTTGAATACTCTAGAATAAAAAAAGTTAAAGGTATTACAAAGTTTTGGTATGGGGTCATGAATTTGGTTCAAATGAACATATTGGAAGCATTTGCAATTTTACAATATTCAATGATCGTTGTCGCGGTTGAGATTTTCATGGTCGCAACTACCACGGAATGGCCTTAGGTGCTATTTGAAATATTTGAAATTTACCGGGAGCACCGGTAAATTTTGTTTATTCCAAATTCTCGAAAGCAGAAGTGTGTTAAGGGCTAAATTTTCTAGTGCATACAATACATCCCCAGGGGCATCCAAAAATATCTACATTTTAAAGAATTACTATCCATCCAATTTTCGAAATTTTCCCAAACTTTGCAATACCTTTACCGTAATAAGATATGATTTGTGAATGGAGACAGAGGAGCAGATGGTTTACTTCAAATCATCTGGGACCTGTTTCACCAAGCCTTTTTTCAATGACAAATGACAAAAATCTGCTTATAACCAATCATAAGCAAGGATATCAGTAGCTTATAACAAAATTTGTCACTGATGACAAGATTTGTGAAACACACCCCAGGTCAGCACACCCGGTCTGGTGGTTACGTTACACAACTTTTTGTAGATTTGCCATAAGTTTTACAGTCTGTTCACAAAGTGTCAGGTTAATTGGACCAGACTATTTGTAGATGAGAAAGGTTTATTTCACAAACATCACCGCCGACATTTCGTGAATAAAGCAGCATGTTTTCACAAAAGATCGGGTAACATGACCACCCGACCCGAAGCGATTATCAATGATTTAAAGTTGTTTGTATCTTTGTCTCAGATTCTAAACAAACTCCTGGATTTAGCTCATGCTGCAATCATAATTATGAACCTTTAGGTCGATCAGTCAGGAATCCCATGACTTTTACAAGCCTGTCTAATTACCACAATATTTATGATTGGAATTCGAAATTTCAAAAATCGTTTTCCCAACGGTTTTTATAACACTACAGCAGAGACGCCAAGTTCAAAGATCGGCAATGCGTGACATTTTCATGACTCTGCGCGTGCGAGGGTATAACACACGTATAGGTATGGCGTTTTTTTTAAAATCTAGCTCGCACGCCGTGCGTGAGATCTGTTTTCAGACCCTCGAAATGCGTGATGTCACGCCTATTGCATGACACTTGGTAGCTCTGCTACAGTCTATTAGGGAAAATAAGTATGGTAAAAATATCAAGAAGTGCCTTAAAAAAGTAAAAACCTTTGAGTGACCAGTTTTACCATACTCGTTTTCCCCAATAGACTGTAGTGTTATGGAAACCATTTGGCAAACGCAAAATACATTTGGATTTTCAATCGTAAATATCTTGATAATCAGACAGGCGATTGGCTTGTAAAAGTCAGGGGTTCTTGACTGACCTAAAGGTTTATAATTTTCATTGCAGAATGAGCTAAATCAAGGATTTTTAAAAAGGATCTAAGACAAAGTTACCGGATCCCTTTAAGACTTTGAGCTAAAAAATAACCCAAAATGTTTAGGGTTGACTGCTAGTTGGGTATTTTCTCATACTTTTCCTAATTGGTTACTGATTACCCCTTTCGTGACAATCATTCCTGATTCTGTAGTTTATTTCAAAAAGGGAGTTTACAGATAGCACATGGTACAAATGACCCCAAATATCCACAGATCTTTTACACATGGAGAAGTTCCACTTTGAGCATCTTAGAATAATAACTGCCAAAGTCCTATATGTGCTTCATGAATACCTTTTGTTTGACCTCTTGAAAAGAATACTCCTACCTGCGTATCATAAAATGTACCGTTGGTGCATAAATGAATAATGTTACATAACTTTCATGAGCGCATATCCAGTATTCATCTCTGTGGGTTTTACCATTTTGGTACAAATGACCTTTATCTGCCCATGCGCAGATTGTATCTGTAAACTCCCTTATTCAGTTAGATTCAGAGCCCTAAAAAATATGCCAGATGCATGCGAAGAAAGGGCGACAAATTCTGCAAACACTGGTTCCCTTTTTGTTTGATGACTATATTGTGTTTGATGCCAGGAATTTTAAAAAGGAAAAAATTCTTTAAAATCCTTAAATTGGTAACAGGTTGAGAAATTAAAAATCATTTTTCCGCTCGGAATTGGCATTTTTCTGAACCTTTTCACACCATTCTCGCCAATATATATTGTTTTCCGAGCATTATGTTTTATTTTAACGAGGTAGCAATAAGAGAAAATATGATTGTTGTCAATTTGAAGAACAATATGTGATCAATTTAGCTCTATAAATAAATCCTGTCCTGAAAGAGTTAGGCTACTCTGTTTTATTTTAAAAAGTGCAATTCTTTACTTTTTTTGGCTCTGGCTAGGTTCAATCACTGGTCACTATTATTTTCTATAAAAAAATATTTTAAAAAAAAGATATTCATTCATTTCTAACTCCAATGATTTTGCTACGTCTTTTTTTTTCTGTAGGATGCTTCGTGGGAGATCAAGGCAGCAAGGGCAGCAGCCATGGCAGAAATAGAGGATGAATGACCAATCAGCACCTTCCATGATTCAAATGAACCAATCAACATAAACTGCTTCATGAACATCTGTATCATGTGAAAAAAAATTGCTGAAAATATAACAGTGCTACAATTTTAATGATTATTAATATAATAAATGATAAATGTACATTTTATATCTCAATTCAATATTTTTGTTTGTTAATGACAACATTTATTTAGCATGGTTGATGCATAATTGCTTGTATAAACATGAATACTGGGTAATTAGATTGCTCAAAAAGTAATAATAGATTTTTAAAGTATGCATACATAGATGTAGACATAGGAATAATGGGCTTTCAATGGGGAAATAAAAGGGTTTTTATTACATTTTCTACTATTAATGCGGATGATACCCTTCATGTTGTAATGAATTCATGAATTTGTGAGATTCAAATTATGCATATTCAAGCCATTTCTCTCTTTTAATATTTCAAAAGTGCAAACAGTCTGTTTTGTAATCCGGGATGTTAATATGTAACATGTTTGGACTTTGAATAATCCACTACTCTATTAATCAAGCAGCCATTATTGTCTATTTCTACTCTAGATTTGATCAATTCCATGTTATATTTTGGTGAACAATTACTCAGACAGCCATTTTATTTTGTATTTTTATTACACAATTTTGAGCTGCATGTAATATTATGTAATGGTTGCTCGTTTATGTGGGGAGATCTAAGAAAAGGGGAAAGGCAGGAGATAAAGAGGTCCAGCTAAAAGCCGGCCTTAATCCCATTTTCTGTGTCTCCTTTAAGTCCGATTTTGGTAATCTCTTTCTTTTTGCATCATCTTTCATTCATTCTTCTTTTCCCTCCTTCCTAATACCTCCGTCAGTTACACCCAAGAAACAAACGCCAGACCGACACCAGACCGAACAAAGAAGAACATTACCCTGAATGGTAGGGTGTCGGTCGGTTTGGTGTCGGTGTGGATACGGTTCGGCAGTGTGACCGAGGTGTTACTTCCACCCCTTTCTTAAACCTTTTGTTTTTCCCACTCACCCTCTCCGATTTTTTTCTCTGAAGTCCGATTGCCTCCTCAATCGCAATATCGCGTGTCCCTTCAACTGATGGGTGTTTCACAAAAGCCTTTTCAATGACAAATAACAACAATCAGTGACAAATCTGCTGATAACCAATCAAAGGCAAGCATTTCAGTAGCTTATAACAAAAATGGTCATTTGTCACTGATGACAAGTTTTGTGAAACGCCCCCCAGGAGCATGGTTTTTAAATAGCTTGTTTATGCATCCTTGCAACTACACTAGAAATTTTATACATCTGGTCCTTTTGAGTTTACTTTCTAATGCTTTTGTGTGTGTAACGTTGTTGTACTTAAATATATATTTATGTATTGATTTCATTTCAGTGTAACTCTGGACTTACTTATTGCCCCTATGTGAAAGACATGTGAAACATGGTCTTAAATTGTATAGTTTTGGGGATGGTGTTAAAATAAGTATTAGTGAGAGATATTCGTTTTTTTTAATTATATGAATAATATAAATCAGTGACAGCATTAGTTCGAACTATCCACATAATCTGTAGCAGTCTGTAGTGGTATGAGACTTGAGGTAACGGCAGATGGTATTTGGACGGCTTAAAGCCTGTCTGCACTAGTTTGTCCAGGAGGGATTAGACCACCCTGCTGGCCACTGGCAGGTGGTTATCTCATCAAATCAGCTCTCAATTAACATAAGAAAAAGGGGACCATGGGGGATCAACGGTCACCACTTGGGCATTGTTGACTATATAGAGGGCGCAAGTCGCTACAAGTAGTGCAGACAGGCTTTAAAAGGTACAGAGGATGGATTGTCATACTAATTTAATTTGTTATTTTTTCTGTAAAGTGATGGCAAGGTATCTCCTCTTTTTAATAGGTTACCCTTATCCTGAGTTTCATGGATTTGAAATTAACTTTCAAAATTGGATGATTATCCAGCCAGTCAAAAAATGCTAACGACCGGTCATTAGAAAGTGCTGATTGCTGGCTACGAGTTAGGAAAAATAAAAGCCTCTTAAAGAGAAGGTTGTGTTCTGGGAAGAGGTGACAAATAATTTGTGAGCATTACTCATTCTTATTATGCAAGTGTGGAAGAACATCAGTTAAGACGTGTTCCCTGAAAAGCATGGCTCTTCAAATGCCTTCATATTCTAAATATGCATGTAACATCGTAAAAATCGGGGAGCCGGCTTTTTACGCCACGTGTTCGTGTAGTCCCATATACATCTTTCTGTGCAAGTGTTTGTAACTTTACCAAGACTTGGCCACATTTCTTATCATTTTGATGATTCCAGAACCTTGCATTACACACAAATTCTTACATGCTAGATGATCAACCTTTTCTGGTCTGTTCCACACCGTTTCTTCATCTTTAACATAACTATTCATGTCCAACCAACCATTTGACTAGGACCCCTGTCATCATTTTATGAAGACAAATAGATTTATTATATTGCCAGAGAACGAAAGTGAGTTTTTTACATGAACTGTATTTACAGGATTTATTTTATTATCTTTTGTTTTGAAAACTATGAATCAAATTGTTTTTTAAGGTATTGCAAAGGTGTGGTAAATGTTATTTAGTATTTTAGGAAAATCTAGATATATATCTCATGTACTTTTTAATAATTGAATCAAACAAAAGCAATGGAAAGAACGGAAGTGGTTTTTCATTATTGTTTGTGCTATATATATTTGTAGTACATTTTTTTTTTATTATGCAACTGAATTATGGTACATTGTAGATACTTATTTTCACCATTGCATGTTTATAACCCATTACCTACTTGAACCGGGTTGTTTCTGTATTAAACCTATGGGCAATGTGAGATTTCAGTAGGCAACGAGTTAAATAGATTCCATTACGCTAATATCCCACTATGAATATCGGACAGAATTCTCTGAGTCAACACGGATAATTTGCAATCTTTGTCTGAGGCTTAAAAAAAAAACCTAAAGACAAAACAATAGACGGATGAGACATTTCATTCTTATTTTGAAAATAATTCAGAAATTATTAAAGACATCAAGGGGTCAGCGACACAAAGACCTAACTCCATTTTGGCCATTTTGAGAAAAAAAAGTGGTTTATAGATAGAGGTCCACTTGGGCCTTATGAAGTTAAGTCTATGTTTCACTAGCCATTGACTTCAATAGGGTATTGGGTGGAGTTAAGTCTATCTTTCACTAGCCATTGACTTCAATGGGGTATTGGGTAGAGTTAAGTCTTTGTGCTTCCTGGAAAACCCACATTTTTTTGAACATTTTGATATCAAAAACTCATTTGGGCTAAAATATGGAGTTACGTCTTTGTGTCACTGAATTCTCTATATAAAGGTAAACTAGTCAGAGCTGGGCATGATTTCATTGTTAATACATACATTTGTTGCATTTACTTTGTATTTTGTGTGAATAACAAATGAAGCATTCCATTTCATCTTTAGGGCAATATCCATGGATGATACAAGTATTATATTGTAGACCCATATATTCATTTTTGTGTTAGGTAGTAATGCATTTTTATAATCGTGGATGTGTCAACCCCCGTGCATTCATTACCTGTAGTCTTGATTTATGGCATGCATGGCCCATGTATCCACTTTGGTGTTGGGTTTTAATTATGATAGGTGCCATTATCTCCATACAGATACATATATTATGCAACATGGTTTGTTTGTTTCGGGGTATCTGTATAAGAACAATCTGCCCATCATAGTGTTTCTGTGCCAGGCAAACTTTTTGCAAGGTTTTAAGTCATGACGAGCATGTTTATACTAGAAACCTTAAAGCATTTGGAAGAGGTAATGAAATTGAATTTATACCATTACAAAATAGATTTATCTCATCAGTTTACACAAAGTCTAGACTACTGACTGTCTGACACATAATGGTGTCAGACTGGCTTCCATTTAGGTGTCAGGCTTGTTTTCATTTTGGTGTCAGGCTTGTTTCCATTTTGGTGTCAGGCTCGTTTCCATTTTGGTGTCAGGCTTGTTTCCATTTTGGTGTCAGACTGGTTTACATTTTGGTGTCAGATGGGCTCTGGAAAATTGTTCTCCAGATTTCGACACCAGAGTGAGAGTTGTGAGCTAGAGGACTTCATGATTAATGCCACTTCATTATCAGTACAAAAACACAATAATTCATTTATTCATATCGTTGCATTAACGCCGATTTCAGTTTTCCATATGAGAGTAATACATAGGGCCTATAGAAATGCTAACACAGTAGTTCAAGTACCTACATGAATTTTATTTCATAGTGCTGTTTAAAAACTCGCCATAATAAGTTAATAACTTTTGCCAGTACTAAAAATGGAATCGATGAGTAGTATACAAACAATATATGTTATAATTAGCACCTTTCACATATTATTCATGAAAGAACAACAGTAGTCCTTTGCAGAGGGGTAAATGCATGGTTAACATTTTTTAAAGCAATTCTATCAAACATGATGTATTAAAGTAAAGTGGAATTTTACCTTTTCGCCTTCAGAAATATGGAATTATGTGACATCTGAACAAATAAGTAAATAAGTCTTTCTTCTGATCTGATTTTCCTTTTATTTACCATGTACTTGTTTTTTTCCTTCTCTCTCTCTCTCTCTCTCTCTTCTTATCTGAATGGATATTTTAGCTATAAAATAAATATTTGTTTTCTATTATAATTCATCTTTTATGTTGGTGACTTGTGATAAAAACGCTGTATTTAACACATGGCACTCTATGTCAAGCAACAGTATGAGCAACAGTTTTAACTAAGTCAGTCCATAGTAAATGTATCATTGTACTCACATCGTTAATTCATGCATTTTTGCATCACATTGTTATATCTTTGTTATTTTAAAGCTTGGTGAATGAATGAATAAATAAATCGCGCTTTCTTCTTAAAAAGTAACACTTGTTTTATTTTAATGTGGCCTTGTTTGGTTTGTATTAGTCCAGAATCTTGACGGTGTTATTTTATTTCGGTTTTGTTTCCCGATCTGCCTTATCCCCCATTATATACCTTTTTAGAAAGAAATCTAGCCGTCTGATTGGTCTAATTGATTTAAGCCATGCCCGCCTACCGGTCAATAGTCTTTTAAAACATGCCCGCCTACCGGTCAATAGTCTTTTAAAAGATGCCTGCCTACCGGTGAATAGTCTTTTAAAAATGCATGCATGCTCCGATTAAGGGGCCCATAAATAAATGTTGGTGAGATCCCCATTGGTTTACGTATAACAAGTTTCTTTGTGCGAGAGCGGATACCATACAGTTTTTGTGCGATTTGGTCGCTAATTTCAGGGTTTTCATATCCCCAGCTGAGATATCCCATCGTTTTACGTGTGTGAGTTACCGGTATGTGTTATGTGTGAGCGCGGATACAAAATACAATGCAATGTGTGGGTGTGTGTGCGATTCCTGAATGACTGTAACCAGGCGCGGATCCAGGATTTCTTGGGGGGGGGGATGGGCCAAATTTAAAATTATGCGAGCCAAATATTGATAGGTAATAGTGACACCTGCAGTGGCAAAAACGTTTAGGGGGGGGGGGGTACACAAAATCCCCATCACCCCCACTCTTACATGCAGGCCCTGCTGAACGTTTCTCGGCGGGGGCCAAGGGGTGGAGCCCCCAGACGCTCAGGGGGTATAGGCATTTAATTACTGTCAGATGAGCATAGTTTGATACCTTATTTGTGACACTGGCAGGACACAAATTGGTGTGGGGTCCAGGGGGCAGAGCCCCCAGAAGCTCAGGGGTTCTTTCATTAAATTACCTTCAAATGAGCATATTTTGATACCTTATTTGTGACACTGGCAGGTCACGAATTGGAGTTGAGTCCAGGGGGCGGAGTCCCCAGAAGCTCAGGTTTTTTTTACATTATATTACGGTCAGATGAGCATATTATTATACCTTATTTGTGACACTGGCAGAACACAAATTGGTGTTTGGTCTAGGGGGTGAAGCCCTCAGAAGCTCAGGGGTTTTATACATCAAATTATCGTCAGATGAGCATAATTTTATACCTTATTTGTGACACTGGCAGAACACAAATTGGTTTTGGGTCCAGGGGGCGGTGCCCTCAGAAGCTCAGGGGTGTTATACATAAAATTATTGTCAGATTAGCATCATTTTATACCTTATTTGTGACACTTGCAGAACACAATTTTGGTGGGGTCCAGGGGGCAGAGCCCCCGGAAGCTCAGGGGTTTTATACATTATATTACGGTCAAATGAGCATCCAGGTCCCGCCTTAGGGCCATCGGTTGGGTTCGGGGGTCGAGTCGCGAAAACTTAGGGGTCTTA